CCATGGGAATCCAATGATGTCACAAATCACCAGTGGCTTAGAGAACACAAACTGAACTGCAGATAAGGAGCCTGCAGAACAAAAACTTTTTTTTCTTTCAATAGATTCTAGTGACATTGTAAGCCACTGGTGACCATCTCCTGAACAAATGAAAAGGAGATAAGAAACTGGTAAAACAAGACTTTCATGCAATTTGGAGGTTCTCATAACACAGTAAAATCTCCAGTGGTTTCTCCTAAAGCTTACAATAAAGTGATAAGAAATTATGAATAATGGGGCTTGGTTCCATCAAGGGAATACTGTGACAAAAAATAAACAAAAGCAGAAAAGCTAGAAAAATCCTTCAAGGTTAGCAGAGCTCTGGAATAAAACAGTTACACTAATTGCATAACATTCATTTTTTAAGCCTACTGATTCTTTCTAGCTTAAAAAATAATTAGGGAATTGAACAATAAACATTTATGTTGGCAAAATGTAAGAGAAAGGTTAATTAAACTACATGGCAACCATTTCGAAATTTGGGGTTGCGGGCGACCAAATACATCTGCTTTTGTGAGGAGAACAAAGCAGCTTTGGCTCAATACTATTCCTTTAGCCAGGGACCTTAAAAAGAAGAATGAGACTTAGCCTGTGGCCTAAGGTGCCCCTTCAAAAAATGGAGAATTATAATCTAGCTCCAACTCCCATCACGCCAGATCACCGCCTACTCCAGATTATTTACTGGACCTCTCTGCTCTTCCCTTGGATCCCATCTGTCTCTGGATTTTAGGTTCCTATCTTAATCTTGCTTTATCACTCCTCACACCTCATTTTACAGAGTTTCAGTGAGCTCAGATGTCTGAGAGCCTGGGAAATGTTCTGGGTTGGAGAGAGACACAGTCAGATAGTTTTGTATTGACTAGCTATGACACATGGTGGACAATGGACTGGAGCAAACTGAGATTGAAAGCAGGAAGAACAGTTATGAAACTATTACAATTAGCCAAATGAGGCCCAGGGGAGACTCTAGAAATGTGGAGGAAAGGAGGTGGTTGGCAAATGTCTATAAGACAAAATTGGTAGGACTTGAAAAGTAATTATATATGGTGGTGAGGGAGAAGGAAAGGGTCCAGACTAAGTTGTAAGTGTATGGTTTGGCTACTGGGCAAATGGTCATGGCATTGGCTTGAAAGGTAACAGGGAGCAGGAACATCCAAGTGGAAGAGGTTTCAGTTGGAAGGAAGCTTAGGGAAATTCATGAGGTTAGTTTGGGTCATGGTGACTTTGAGATGTCTGAGGGAGATTTACATGGAGATATTTAGCAAATAGTTTGATAAATAAGTCTAAAATTCTATGATGAGGTTAATGGTGGGGATTCAGATTTAGGAGTCTTCAGCATGGAAGGCAGGGTTTAAAACCATGAAAGTCGATGAGATTGGTTAAGAAAATCATATGGAATAAGAAAGTTAAAAATGAAACCCTGGCTTAGCAGCTTGTGAGAGAAAAGAATAAAGAATGGCCAGAGAAGTTTGAGGAGAACTAGGAAAAACTTGAGCAGGAGTCACAAACTGGAGGATTTGGGAACAAACTGAGCCTAATGTTCAAATATAGGGAAATTTCCCATCAAAATTCAACTATTCAGCTTATTTTCAAATATTGGAAGGTGAGATCAGCCTGGGTCTGTATGACCATGTGGCAAGAGCTGCCTGGAGTTGAGCAGTGAGTGGTTGCCCTCTCTAGACTAGGCATCCATATTCCAGGCTGTGAAAGGCACCACCCTCTCATGGGTTTGCCCAACACTCAGGCAGAAATAGTGTTATTATTGCATTGAAAATATCTCTATAATCTCCAATATCATACATATTTATGTGACATGACTGTTTATGACATAGGCAAATATAAAAAAATCGATTATATATTTCTAAGGTTGTTTGCATGAACTCACTCAGTCAGCTTCATTAATTAAAATGACTGGCCTAGCCCTCTATAGACTTTTGAGTTTGAAAGCCTGGAAGAGTATGTTAGCAGCTAAAGAAGTGGAGACTTTAAAGAAGTGAGCTATAATCAAGTGAAACAGAGCACGTCAGTGAGTTGTACTGTGAATGCTACAGGGTGTTCCATCTCTTCTGGTGACTTGGATTGGACTGCCACCAGTTAGAAGCCAGTGGAGGTAGAGAGGTAAGAGCAGCTCATTTGATAAGCACCTATTGAATACATACACTGTATTAGGTATGCTGCATATATCATTTCATTTAACATTCACAACATCCCTGGAATGTAAACATCATGTTTCCCACTTTGAAAAAGAGGAAGCAAAAGTTCCAAGAGGTTAAGTAATCTGCCTAAACATGTATAGCTAATAAGAGGGCAGAGCCAGGCTTTGAACTCAAATTTGATTCCAAAGCCCACTAGTCTTTCCATGATGTCAGGCTGCCTTCCCATCAGTGGAAATGTTGGAAAGATGCAATAAGATGGGAAAATTTGATTTTAAAGAATCAACCTCAACTGCATAATAGCCACTCCAAATGCCAATCAAAAATTCAGATTAAATGAATCTATGATGGCATATCAAACTACTAGAGTGACAGTCTAAGAAAAAAATATAACACTATTCTATACACTAACCACACTCAATAGTATTTTGCTAAATGAATCAACAAAGTAATACTGTTTTCTCTCTGCCTCTCCAAAACCTTACTAAATTTTAAACATTCCCATAACATCGTGTGACACAAATCTTATAATATATCTAAGAATTATTTAGTACAAATGTAAAGGGAGAAAAGAAAAATACAGAAAAAAGCTAGAGGAAATTAGGTGTTAAACATAGGCCACATTCTTAAAACTTCTGCTCTCCAAGAAAAGGAGTGGTATGTATCCTTATTGAATTATTTGTCTATTACCAGCTGTGTAAAAAGTGTGGTCTCATATAAATGTGTTCTTGTTGAAAATACTCAAATACAAAATCATAATATATGTTTTTGAATCAATAACTATTATAATTCTGAGTCTGTTCTATATCTTTTCACTTGTTTTTCAATTCCATATGGATTCAGTCATATATTCAGTTGACTAGCTCTTATATTTTTACTAGTTTGCAAACTTGAACTTTAGTAAGTCAGCTGGCTTTGCTTTTGACTCAAATAAGTAAAATTTATAAAGTGTTTCTTTTTATGCTTAGCATTATAACTCCCTCTTTATCAGATTCCAGATCGTCATTCAATATGGTAAAATTACATTACATCACTCATTCAGAATTTATGATCATTTAAGGAGAGGAAGTCTGATATGGAGGAAAATCTGTAGTGGAAAAATGAGAAACTTCAAGTGTCCCAATACTATTCTTGGGACCTGCTTATTAGTAATACTCAAAGTGACTACCAATAATCCTTATACATTGCTAAAATACTATCTTCAAACTCTATCTCCCTGATAAAAATTAGCTATACCATAGTGTATAGCTATTAATAAATGTATCTTAGACATGACTTATAAAAGTGTAGATCAAAAACCTAAGAAATCATTTTATCCAGCCCAAGCATTCAGACAGGTAAGGTATGTAAACTACTTTTTGCAGGTTCTGCAACTGAGGCCTTAGAGATAGGTACTTTATGTTAATAATACTAAATACCTATATTGAAACAGTGTGACTGTTTGCACTGAGATATATTGACTTTCTTCCTATTAAGGACAGATTAGTGAGGGCTCAGTGGACATGTCAGAAACTTCTTATATTCCAAAAGCCTATGAATCAACAACATCTATTTGGCAAGCAAGCCATTACTATAAGGTAAAATTCCTGATACATAGCTAGTGTGCATGGTGCACACTGATATTTGGAGATACAGTCGGCATAACTGTGAACACTCACAAAGTTGGTGACTATGAGACATATAGGCTTAATGACAGAGAATCCTATAGTTGAAGGGGCCTCATATATCATCAAATTCAATACTTCAACTAGATAGAAAAATTGAGACTAGAAGATATTGTTTTCCCAAAAACAGATAGAGACCACAGGGCTCAATCAAGATTTGGATCTAAGATTCCTGACTCTTAGTCCAGTGCTCTTCCGACTATATTCAAGCTGCTTCAGTCAGAAGAAAATATATGTTTTTCTTTCTACATCTTTAAAAATGACAATATTAGCTGCACTAACAATCATGAAAAATAAAATTATTATTGATGGTGTCACATGGGAGGTTGGCTTTGATGTTTTCATTGTTCTCTGTATGGTAATTAGAAAAGTTTCAGTATTCTAGGTTGTATTAGACATTTTGCCTTCTTGAACATTTAGGAAATAATCTTTTTAAAAATAAAATATAAAGTCTCGCCCATGATTTAAAATATCTCATGGTTATAAAATCAAGGTGGCAATAGGCATTCTTAAATATTCTTTTGTTCCTCAAGGAGAAATATAACTAGTCAAAAATATCTCAACCTATAAGAAAAGATCAAGCATGTTAGATTTCTTTCCTTCTTTTCAATATCATCTATGTCAACATATCCAAAAGGAAGATCAAAAGAGCTCGATTACACCAGGTTCTCAATTACTTTTCATTGATTGAAACATTGAAAATAGATAAAGATTCCTTTTTATCAGTCATAGAGTTGGCGTCTCACTTGTGAATAACCTGAGAATGACGTATTGCCTGAACTGGTAAGAACTAGGAGGAGAAAACCAGGAACAAGCATATTAAGTCACAGGGCCTAGATTTGCAGGTGCATGCAAAAGGACACCTTTCCCAAAACAGACATTATACCTGGTGCATTGTGCCATAAGAACAAAATGTGACCGCAATTTAACGTGCCACAGTAGAACCTCAGCCTCGTCAATGTGAGTAAATGTACCCTGGAACTGAACATGCATGCAGAATGCAGCTTTTTCATACTAGAACCTGAAAGGTGTGTTAGTCAATGATACAGAAGCAGTTTTGCTAATAATGTCAGTGAAAACAAAGAATATTGCATATTATCAAAACATTGCAAGAAAACAAAACAGAAAGAACTCTTCAACTCACCGTTCCTGTTGTGCCCAATGAAAGGTGATTCATCTGCTGTGTCAGGGGGCCCATCATGTTTGCTGGCTGCATTGACATAGGATGGTCCATTGTTGGTGTAATCACAGCACCCTACAAGCATACACAATGTCCATTTGAGAAGATGTTCTGCGAGGAAGGAAGCTTTTTAGACAATAATGAACACTGTAAATTATTTTAATGTGTAAACATCAAATGTTTTTACTTTTTAATGAAAAGGCTAAATTTAACTGTATATAATTTTTATGCCTGTCCATGTCATCTTGTGCTTGTCTAAATATGTGGTAGGATGTATTCAAATAATTCATAAATCTCCTCTCTCCCATTGTTCTAAATATAAACTTCTCTGGCTGAAAAATATAAATATTAATGAAAATTCTCTAATTTTCTTTATATTGAATAAGACTTTTGGTTTATGCCATTTACCTATAATTTATATAGATAATTGTTGACACTCCATTACAATCTATCAATGGAAGCGATAAAGCTGGCCCACATGGGTTTCTTGACGGGTCTCTTTGAAGGATATACTAAAATCTAACATTAATGATCTAAAAATCAGAGTTACTCTTTCCCATTTGTTTTCCCTCTACTCTTTTGACCTATTTTCTAGCTATGCTTTTGACACAAGACAGAAGAATACTGAACTCAATTAAAGCTGGTCAAATTTTCATGTTCATTCATAAATTAAAATTTTTTTAAAAAGCAAAAATTTCAAGTTTTTTATCAGATGTTACAGAAGGCAAACTTATAGAATATGTCTTTTTATTACAATTGTTGGGAATACAAGAAATAATAGACAGTTTAAATAGAAGTTTAAAAACTTCCATCCATATACAAAGTGTCATACAGCTAGTGAAGAATGGTGTCAGGTTATCTTACCTTTTCATTCCTTTTCCTCTACCCTGTTACTCTCTCTTAATTAACTGACTTGAAGAATGGGACAATATTTTTAAAAAACAAAATTAAAAACTAGGATTGGATGGAACCTTTGAGATTATATAATTCCAATGTTTATTTTAAAGATTATGATAAAAGCAGAAGCTCATAATATAACTACCGATTGAAATAGTCATAATAAAATGATTATGTAACTGAATAAATTATTTTTCCCTAAACATATTTTTCTCACTGACATTTTTTCCCACATAAGTAAACATTTTGAAGGAATAAAACTAGGACAGATGCATATAGATGGCAAGATCTCAGCCCCTAAACTAATTACCCACAAGCAAATATTTTCTAAAATGCTTTTGCTCAGACTGCTCAATTCCGCCTGGTATTATCCAAATCCAACTTCCTGACTGTATCTGTTAAAAGATCGGGCTGCCACTCAGCCTTCACTATGGGCTCCTCTACATTAATTTTGAGGGAGAATAGAAATTGAGCCAAATATTTGGGAATGCTTGGTATACTGAGCCAGCTCTGTTCACAAAGACATTTGGACTTTTGAGCAGGAAATCAATCAGAAAAAATACATTTTACAGGTCTTGTAGCTTTCATAATAAATATACACAGCTGTGTATTTGTATTGTATGAATTTCGTGATGCTTCTGTGAATTGTCATTCATCAGGATGCTTCTTAAGTGAGAAACATGGTAAGATAAGCTTTCGCTTAATTAAAATTCAGAGACACATCACTTTTCTTTCTGCTGCCTGAATCTCTTTAACAAAAACATCTTTATTTTTTCCTTTTTAAAAAAATACTTACTGGCCTTCATTTCAGGTATTTGTTGTGCCAGACCAGAAGTAAACACTTTAAGAAGAACTAGGGTTCTTCTTAAATCACCTAGGGATAAATTATAGAATAACCTCAGAGTTAAGACGGAAGTCCTGAAGCATTTTTTTCAACCAAAAAGTGGCAGTTTTACAACATTCTAATCCTTAGCAGGTGCAAGACTTCAATTCTTTTCTTTAATTTGACACTTAGGCTATTTTTTTTAGAAAATTTGCCCCTACCATTCCAACATGCAGCTACACTGTCACAACCCCAGAAACCCCTCAATTCTAAGCAGCCTGCTCTAGCCACATAAAGGATTATCCATGTAAATCAGAGATAAAGACCAAATTGTGTTTGGTGAGGATACTTTCTTCTCTATGCCCTGGAGTTGCATCATTCTCCATGGGTGTCTGAAGTAGACTTTAGTCTTTTTTGGAGAGGCAATATGCAAATGAAGTAGGTGAGTATGTGGCAGATCAATCCAAATTCATGCATGATAAGAATAGAAGGATTGAATGCCTGTACTTGGAATTAATTTTGGAAAGACTGGTCTCTTTGAGAATCTTTTCATTGAAAGCAGTGTTTGGGGACTCATTTGATTACAGATGTCACAGAGTGAGTGCTGCATCTGTGTATAAACCAGAAATCTGACAATCAAAGTAAAGAGTAAGAAGGGATTTGTCATAATTTGGAATTATAAATAGCAGCAGTAGACACAGAGTGGAAAACAATGTAAGGAAAATATTCCTTTCCTAAGCAGACCAGTTATTGCAAATAAATGAACAACAAAATAAGAATTCTTGGGGAAGGATATGTAAGAATATATATTCTTATTCATATTCAGTAAAAATGTTCAGTGAATAAAAAAATTCCTACAAATTATTAAGAACATATTTTTTTTTTAATTTTAAGGGAGTGGAAGAAATTTACAATCATTGAGTAAACTGGAAGTCATTGACAGGAATCCCTTGGAAAAATGAATTTTCTTGATGACACTTTACCTGGGACAAACAGAGTTTTAGGTGTTGGTTAGCTACAACAAAGAATGGTGTTTGTCAGCCACTTTGCTTATCAAAGATTACAGAATCTCCTTTGTATTATGTATGACACAAATAAAAAAAATGAAGGAAAGACAAAAGAAAAGAACAGCAAAAGAAAACCTTATGGTTGTTAAGGCAAAACTCATGCCCTCAGCCATAATTGTGCCTCATTAAATACACTGTCAAATCCATTTTTACTCAACACATTTAAATCATATACTGAAGAGTGTTTTGTGACAGATGTTGCCAACACATTAAACGCAATTTCGTTTACTTGAAACATATAGAATGTGCTGTCTGACAGAGTTCACTTGGCAAATGGCAAAATAAGAGGAAATAGATTTTTCATTTTAACATCTCCGGATGTCTGGGTTTGCTCAATGTTTAAGCTACAAAGAAAAATATTGTAGCATTCTGTAATTTCACTAAAAAACACAATGACCAAACAGCTGATGGGAATGTCTGGTCCATTTTAGCCACAGCCTTTGCAAAACAAAGCTGCTCCCACTCAAGAGACAAAGGGTGGATCTGGTCGCCCTAGTTCTGCAATAAACAATTCCAACAGTAATTTGGTAAAAGTTTCCAAAGATCATTATGTGTGAAGTAAATATATCTGACCTACGGCCAGAAAAACATCTGCGTTGTTAACCTTCTGCCAATATTTGAAAGAAATTTGAAGTCTTTGATAGTTCATCAAAATTTTAATTTCCTATCTGAAATATAGAACCATTGGCAAATCAGGGAAAGCACGTGTAGGCTCTCTCCCATCAAGATCACATGTAGTTGGCTTAATACCTATATTAGCACCAGAAGATGAACTACAATGAGAAGAATTAGCTGTAAATATTCCTGTGATAGTATTCTAGGCCTCTCTAATTGTGGTCTGTGAATTAGCAGCAGTAACAGACCAAGAATTAAAATCTCTGGGATTCAGGCCCTGAAAACTGTGGTGTAACAAGCTCTGAAAATGATTCTGATTATACCCAAAAGTTTGAGAAGTATGTTCTGTCTATAAGCTGCTATTGTATAAGCCAATGTTACAGTTCTAAGAGGCAAACAATTGGCTTTATTTTATTTATACTGTTTCTCAATTATTTGTTTTAATCCAATCTTGTTACAGGACATGGGGCTTTATGTAATAATCAAATCATATCTTGTTAAAAAAATTCAAAGTCTGAACCTGCATTTTTGATGAGCTGAATAGGGAGAGATTATCTGAATAATTCAGACCTAAGCCTGATGACCTGACATGCTACCATTTGATTAGTTTGGCTTGTGTTATAACATATTTGAGAATCCTTCCCATTTGGAATCTTAGTAACCTTGTATTTGAAATCATAGAAATGTAAAAGTAAAAAGTAATAAAATTATTTGAATAACATAAATTTTAAAAAGAAAAAAAAATCCCCCTTCTTTTCTTGTTTTATCTAAATGCCTTAAGTAAAAATGTTTGTGGTCTATATTATATTATATTATTCCCTATAGTGACTTATGCAAAACTCTATAGGACTTTTTAATAATATTCATTCAACATAACTTTTAAAAATGTGGTTTTGGGTCATTATTTTTCTTTCTTATCTGTCCGATTTTCGCCTCTGTCAATTTTTACCATTTCTAGAATAAATATTTACTTGAGTTTGTGTACACCAACCTATTTATAGCACGTGTAAAATAGACTGCAGAGAATGATACGAGCTTACAAGTGAATTAGCTAGTGTAATGATTTTCAATGGGAACACTGATTTCATAATATGAATGGCATACAGGTATTTTATTTAATCTGGGGAATAGCTATCCAAATGCAGTGTTCTGCAATATTAACGTGCAACATTTCTTGTCTTGTACTATATGTCTTATACTATAATGTCTTTCATTTGTTGATATCAGCATGGGTTTTTGGGATGATGGCAGGGGGTTAAGAAGGGCTTCTGTGGAGAGAGGAAAAAAAGGAGCATGAAATGTCCCCCATTTTTAGAAATAATCATTAATCCTCAGCTACCCTGACAAACTTCCAACCATGTTGGATGGGCAGCCAGACTTTTAAAAATTATGTTTGAAATCCAGAAAGCGGCGGCAAAGGTGGTACCTTCAACTTTGGAAGCATTTTGTACTGACAAATTCTGGAGGTATGGGCGAAGAATGAATAACCGTGGTAAGCCAGCAGCCACACTGCCCCTAGAATTCCATTTTAGCACTCGATCCCTTCCTCCCCTTTGCTATTCCCTAAGGGCTTCTTTCAATATTATACCTTCCAAGAGGGCAAAGATTATATTTATACAACTTTTGTAATCCCTATAAACAGAAATTATGTGCAATAGATACTCAAAAACAGT